CCTTTATATGCTCTATTATATCTTTTTTCGAGATGGTGTGGTTCAAATGGACGACTTCTATAAGAATATTTGACAGACGAAGAGTACATAACTTCTTTTTCTTTTTAAGACCAAGCCATAAAAATCGTGCTGCTAAATCACTAGTAAATACTTCTTTCATCAAATTATAAACGGTGTCCTTGGCATTACGGTCTCCTATTTTTTTCAGCTGCTCTATCTGCATTTAAAAATACAAAAATGGTAATTTCTAATTATTATAATGTTATACAAAAGTATTGGAAAAATTTAATATTATAAATTGATATTTAATGATTAAAAGCTACATTTTTTACATTAATTTTATCTGTAATAAATATAAATAACGATCCCATAAACAATCTGTTAGTAGTCTGCCAATAAATAAGTTACAAATTTCATCTGAGCCCGCATTTAGTTCGTGTTTTGCCATTATGGCTTTTATTGGGGCTGCGCTCGGGAAAATGCTATTTAGCACTATGAGTGTGCTCTGTCGTTATTCAATTTTCAGCAGACAATAAGAACAAAATGTTCATAGCGTTAAATAGTGCCTTTCTGAACGCAGAAAAGGATAGGACAAAGCAATTTTAATTATTATTGAAAGTTGGGTTTTTTATAATTTTAACTTACCAAGCAAATCGAAAATCTTGTAGAAGAAGATTATCTTCTAAATCTTGTAGATCATCTTCATTTTTTTAAAGGAAAAGATGAAACATAGTTATTATGTATAATAGAAGCAAAATTACAGCCTTCCAGCGCAGAGAGTCGAACTAAAATATTTTCTTGGTTTTCTAATATTTTATGAATATCTATTTTTGTTTCAGCGAAGCATCTGTTTATAAAATTGTTTGATTTTGCTATCAGTGTTTTTAATTGTGTAATACTTTCACCTAAAAAAAGGCAAATAAACTAGATATAGTTCTTGAAAATAAAAAGCAAAGAATAAAATACTAGAAATTGAAATCATTTGTATGGATTTATTCTTTCGTGTTTCCTCAATTTCTGTATATAACAAATTTGTTATTAATTACTATTATGTGATTTTTCATAAGAAACATTTCTTTTCGGTGAATGATCATGCCAATATACATTACTATTTCCGCAAGTGGATGAACTTTGCATATTCATAGAAGAAGTGTGTGAATATGTATCTGGTATACGATACGGTAAATGCCGTTGTTCTTCAGAGGAGCAATTACAGGTATTCGTGAAAAAAAAGTTCAGAAACTGTATTGGATAACTGATTTTGTCCACTTTGCTGAGTAAACTTTAGCAGAGGCTGAGACAATGAATCATGGAAAGACTGATTTTTATTACCTCCGTACTTTTTTATTGCTTCATAGCATCGAGGTTTTGAAGAAGATTGATGACTCCTTAGTGATGAAAAATGTGTAGATACGGGTAGTACAATAAAAGTCAGAATAATACTAGAATTAAATCAAGAATAATGAATTTAACGATAGGTGGTCGCTCGGATCCTACCAGTACGTATTATAGGCGGGTTCTAACCCATGGTCCTCCGAGAGGGGTGAGGGGCGGGGAGTACCGCGGGCGAGGGGGGTATGACGTCACCGGGGGGGGTATGACGTCACCGCGGGGGGG